CAAGCTAGAAGTGTATGACTAGGGAGAACCTTGGTCCAAGCCTTTATTTGTGGGATCTGCTCCAGCTTTGCTGTCTCTTTGTTCTAAGAGGAAAACACAGATCTGTGCTCCCAGACACTGGCCCAGAACTCGAGCAACCTGCAGTCACATGGTCTATTAGATGGGTCCCCGTGCAGGCGTAGCAATTCATAGTCTTTTGCCTCTTTCTTCCTCCTTCTATTATTTTTAAAACTGTGTCTTCTAATAAATCCACTTTGATTATTCTTTTAAAAGAGTAGAAACCTTTTCCTATAGCTATTAAGACTCTATTGTGACCACCGGCGAATTAGAATGAGGTCTGTGAACTAAACTTCGCATAGTAGCAAGGTTAGTTTCTTGAGTTGATGGCTACACTGTGGATCTTAAAAATACTATTCCTGATTTAAGATAAATACATGGAAGTGTGCAAAGGTAAGAGAGGCCTTTGTTTGTAACTGATTCTCAATGTTTTCAAGGAGAGAAAAACACTACACACACACAAACACACACACACACACACACACGAGTCATCTATCCATGTCTTGGGAGTACTGATACTGATTCAGTCTTCTCCAGATACCAAAAATCTGTGGGCCCCCAAGATCCCTATATAAAATGTTGTGCTATTTGCATAATCTAGACACATCCTTCCCTATGTATTAAATCATCTCTACATGTTCTGTTCAGGGAATCCCAAGGAAAAAGTGTTTTATTCATGTGCTTAATACAGATCTTGTTCTTTTCAGATAGTTTTGACCTCTATTTCATCGAACCCACATATATAGAAACCCCAGATGTGGAGGGTTGACTGCACATACACATATACATGCATACTTATGCATATAAACATGGAGAGAGAAATGATTCTAAAGCTGATGTGTGTAGTGCTTGCAGAGTCTGAGTTAAAGATGACAGGAATTCCATGTAGCACTTGAAATTATTTTTCACCTGATGCTATTTCAAAATAAAAATTACATGTATGAATGCATGTGTGCATATATACCACTAAAGAAAAAAAAGGTTTGCAAACTCATCGTTCAGTTGTGCACCCTGAGAAATCAGCTTGGAGGATTTTGTTTTCCGCCTGTGATGACTATTCTTGGTCATCAGCTTTAGACGCATGGGAGGAGAGAACCTCAGCTGAGGTATTGCCGCCTTAGATTCGCCTGTAGGCACATCTGTGGGGTGTTTCCTTGATTGCTAATGGACGGTGGAAGGCTCATCCCACTGTGGACCTGTGGTCCTGGGTTGTATAAGGAAACAGGCTGAGCAGAATCAGTAACAAACCATTAAGCAGCTTTCTTCCATGGCTGCCGCCCCTGCTCCTGCTCAGGTTTCTACCCCAACCTCCATCAGTGATGGACTGTGACCTCGATGTATAAACCAGATAAACCTTTTCTTCTCCAAGTTCCTTTCAGTCAGGGCTTTATCACGGCAACAGAGAAACAACCTAGAATGCCGTCTACCAGTGGAAGGAGCTTATGTCAAGGCCACTGGGTTTGTTAAAGATACCTATAAGCCAGCCATGAGCGCGTTCTGATCGTCCCCATCCTGGTGTGCTGACGGACGCCCTTCCCAGTCATGCACACAACCCTATAGACTCATCGTGACTTGTTTAAAGAATGGCTCTCAGCCTGCTCTACAGAGCACAGAAGGCCAGAGTGGACACCACTTAACGCCTCTCTGAGTCCACGCCACTCTTCCATAGGGAAGGACACTGAGGCCCTGAGAGCTAGACATCCTAAAACTCCGGTTTCTTAGCAGCAAGCATGGGATTTGAGTCAAAATAGTTTATTCCCACCCATCCTTCCACAAAAGGCTTAAGGTCGTTCAATGCCAAGGCCAGGACCCATGGCTTTTGACCTTTGTCTTCTAGGACTTTCCATGTCTCCTACTGTACTGGTTTATTAATTAGAATTTGGAGGAAAGATACACCAGAGCTCCACTCCTAGTTCTTTCAAACAGTCCACAAGGAAAGTTCTTTAAATAGCAAATTCCACACAGAGTTCTAGAAAGGTAATTTTGTTTTGTTTTAATAAAAAAAAAAATTCGGTTTACATGCAGGTCTTCAAAGCAAATCTTCCTCCAGGCCCTCCTGTCACCCAGTTGTCACAGGGCTTTGCTGAAAATTACCCGCCAGATGGGCAGGAGTAGCGCAGAGTGATGCAAGGTGTGCAGGACCTGCGCTGTGGGGCCACAAAGACGTGCTCAGGGAAACAGCTAGAAGGAGCGCTGAGGAGACCAGCAGAGCGCCCCCCAGAGGCATCTGCAAGGACTGCAGGCCGTGTCCCAGCAAAGTGAGCAGCAGAGGGTAGGGACTGTGTGTTCAGGGCAGTGCTGCCATTGGCCTGGGGTCAGGCTCAGGCGCAATGTCCCAAGTTTAAGCTTATTCTTTTAGCTAAACCTATCCCAGACAAAATTAGACTCTCTCAAGACATGGGCAGGCACATTTACATATAGATCACAAATACACACCAAACTTCTATTTAAAAAAAAAAAATTAACTCCAAAAAGAAAGTCATGTTTTCTGCATAGGTTTCCTTCTTGTATGACCATTTTCCATCCCCTGAAACTGGCCTCGTTTATTTTGCTAATACTGTGATCTGGGCCTGATGTTATGCTCTTTGCGGACATTCATTGTTCCCACTGTGTATGGTTTCCATTCTACAATAGAGGACTGGAGGCCCAGAGAGGTTAAGCAAAGTGCCAAAAGTCACACTGCATGGAAGCCAGGATTAGAGCCCTGGAAGCTGCCCCACCCCCCAACTTTGTAGTTCATCCGTCACATGCCGTGTCTCATTTGGAGGGTGACACATGAAGAAAGGGACATCTAAAATGCCAAGGGTGTGGCTGCTGTGTCGGCAGTCTCTACCCACTGACATCTGAAGGAGGTTTCCCGAACACGGCACTCTAAAGTTAGGGTCCTGTATAAGAAAGGGGGAATCCCTTGGCTCTAAAACTAGGGTTCCAAGGCTTCTTTTTTTTGATTTCTCCAGAGCAACCACTGTGGGAACCTGCTCCCACCCAGGTCTCCAGTGGGCCACCAGTCAGAATGCAATGGGGTTTCCAGAGGCCACCACAGGCTGCTGGCTGCAGGTCACCAGCCTGCCATTAGCCCAGCAGCTCTGAGGCCCACAGGTGTGGCGGAACACCTGTCACCTACGGATTATACTCTAAGCTTAGAGATAGAGCCCAGGTCGTCAAAGCTCTTTCAGCATTGATGCGTTTTCCTCACTCACTAGCATTTGCTTTGGTCTCTACTAAAGGCCTTCAGCTATTCTTGTCCACGCTGGTTCTTGTTGTTCTTGTTCAATTTGTTTGTTTGTTCGTGATTTCATTCCTTTCCCTACTGGGTCCTTGTTTAATATAATGTTCCGTGCCCCCAAAGGCTTTCATTTGAGTAGGGAAATCTGACAAAAGCAACATTTTTAAATATAAAAGTTTCCAATTTATGGCACTCACAGCCTCTGACCAACTTGTGAAAACAAATGTTCTCTCCTGGGCCCACGCTGAGTTCAGAAATCCTCAAATTAGCCATAGTTGCTGGAGGTTTAGTGCCTGAGGCAATATTTTCTGCCAGAACTGATTCTGAGAGCTCTGAGTGGACCAACTCAGTGGCTCCTCATAGCAGCCCTATGAAAGAAGTAATAGTAGCATCCCCACTATATAGACAGGGAAACCGAGGCACGGAAAGCTGGTGCATTTAGCAAACATCCAAGCCTCTCCTCTCCTGTACCACCACATGTTCCCCCTTGTAGGATGTGTTTAGTCCTGCTGGACATAGCCAGCCTCCAGCCAGGGTTCCTGGCACACTAGCTACTCTATTTCTATCAGTCCAAACCATTTTACTGGACACCCATTTTACAGGTGAGGAAACTAAGGTCAAGGCCACGTCAAGGTCTCATCCTGATGCCACTGGTCATGGTGACAGAGCCAGCTCTGCTGAATCAGAGAGGGTCACTCATTTTTAAAGCCAGTCTCTGGCAGTTCTCTGAGCCTGTGATCCCACCAACTGGGAGGCTGAAACAAGGGGACTGCCATGAGCCGTGACTAGCCTGGGCTTATATACAGATTGAGTTCTGTGCCAACCTGGGCTACAAAGAAAGACCCTGTCTCAGGGAAGGATGAAGACAGAGGAGGGGAAAAAGAGAAGGAGAAGGATGGAAGAAGGAATAGTAAGGAAGAAAGGGAGACAGAATGTTTTTGGTTTGGTTTGGGGTTTTTTTGTGTGTGTGTGCGGGGGGTGGGAGGTATTTTGTTTTGTTTAATCAAACTTCTACTCTTCAAGTACTGAGGAACGCAGGCTGTGCATAAGCAATTGAAATAGTCAGGATCAGCCACCAAAAGACTGTAACCATTTTGTGTCAAAGTTACAAGGCGAAGGTGTGACTTCTCAGGATCCTTCCACCCTGTCCTCCACAAAAAAAAGGAGCCAATCCCGTGTCAGGTGCTGACTTCAATTTCTGCTGAGCTATTTTATTTATTTTTGGTTTTGGACTGGTTTTTGTTCCAAGTATCAGAGTAGGCTGGACAGAGTAATGAAAGGCAAAAAATAAAAAGAAAGAAAGAAAGAAAGAAAGGAAGGAAGGAAGGAAGGAAGGAAGGAAGGAAGGAAGGAAGGAAGGAAGATTCCAAATTAACACGGGCAACCCTTCCCTTCTGGTCCTTTAAAGATGCCAGTTACGTGGGGGATGGGACTTCATGTCTCCTCAGACTCTGGCTCTTCCTACATTTGATCAGTTGAGATTAATAATAGAATTTCTAAAGAAAAGAATCACCGTGTCAGGGTCTCAGATGCCCTGGGGTATGAATTTATAGCTTTTTCGTTTAAACCCTCAATGTTTGAGCTATCACTTAAAGAGAATGCATTTAATCTTAACTTGGAAACACTAAAAAAATTTCTGGCATCTAATTAAATATAAATGTACAGTCAACTAATGTATACACATGTCATTGACTTGCTGTCTGTCCCTGTGTTCTAGTGCCCTGGTCATTGAAAAACAGCAGCATAGACAGTGGCGAAGCCGAAGTTGGCCGACGGGTGACGCAGGAAGTCCCACCAGGGGTGTTTTGGAGGTCACAGATCCACATCAGTCAGCCCCAGTTCTTGAAGTTCAACATCTCCCTGGGGAAGGATGCCCTCTTCGGTGTCTACATCAGGAGAGGACTGCCACCGTCTCACGCACAGGTACGGCCACACTTGACGGGATGGAGTGAATAACGCAGGCACGTGTATCGCTTCATACCTGCTAAAACGCCCTGTCACTAACGCACAGACAATGACCAGAACTGACAAGGGTCTGAAGACATTGGAGCCCTCGTATATCCCCGGCAGGCAACAAAATAGCTCAGCCTCTATAGAGTCAAGCTGACCAGTTATTGAGAAAGACAATTGTAGAATTGCCATAAGTCGGGGAATTTTCTCTTCTGTGCATATGTATGCTCAAAGAGAAGCCAAACGTTCTGTCCCATGAAGAACACTGACACTTCACAGCAGCGTTATTCATAACCAAAAAGTGAAAAGCAGCCCGAGTGTCCAAATGATGGCATGGCTCTACGATGGACTATTACTCGGACAGAAAGAGGAATTAGAGGGTTGGGATTTGACAGAGCACACATGGGCACGCTCTGCTAAATGAAGGAAGTCAGGTACAAAAGGCCTGTAGTGTACAGTTTTAGCTATAAACTGTCTGGAATAGGCAAATCCATAGATGCAGAAGGGAGGTGAGCAGATGCCAGGGAATGCCACCGAATTTTATTTATTTTTTTAACATCCTGACTACAGCCTCTCCTCACTTCTCTCCCCTCACTCCCTTCTGTCCACCCCCTCCCAATTCACCCCTCCTCCATAATGGCTCAGAAAGGAGCAGGCCTCCCATGGGCTTCAGCAAGTGTGGTATGTCAAGCTGCCATAGACCAAGCACCTCCCCCTGTGTTCAGGCTGGGCAAGGAAATCTAGCATGGGTAGGTTCCCGAGAGACCATCAAGGCACGGGGGACAGCTCCTGCTCCCATTGCCCTGGGAGTCCCACATATAGACCAAGCTACAGAAATGTCACATATGTGTAGAGGGCTTAGGTCAGTCCCAAGCCGTCCCTGTTTTCTACCATCCCTCCTCCCTGTCCTCAGCCGGACTCCCCAAGTGTGGCCCAGTGTTTGGCCATGGGGAATCTGCCTCCACCAGTCACTGGATGAAGACTCTCTGATATCAGACAATAGGGGTAGTCACCAATCCAGTCACAGGAAATGGCCAGTTCAGGCTATTGTAGCCACTGCTACCAGGAGTCTTAGCTGGCACCAACCTTGTAGACTGGTGGGATTTCCCTTGCTTCAGGCTTCTACCCGACTCCACAAATCCCCCCTTTCTAGTCAGCTCTCAGCACTATTCCCCTCCATCTACCCCCCAACCCAATCCCTCAAGTTCCCATGCCCACCCACCCCAAGTCCACCCAGGGGGTCTCCTCTACTTTCCCTTCCCAGGGATATTAATGTGTTCTCCCCTTGGGTCCTCCTTGTTACCTAGCTTATCTGGGTCTTTGGATTGCAGCATGGTTATCCTTTACTTTACAGCCAATACTCAGTTAGGAGTGAGTGCATACCATGTTTCTCTTTTTGGGTCTGGGTTACCTCACTCAGGATGATTTTTTTTTTTTTTTGCTAGTGGGGATTGATTTCTCCCAGGAGTATAACTTCTTCCAGGGGTGATGAAACTACTTTGAAACTAGCTAAGGTGGTGACATAACAGTGAACGACCTAAGACCACTGGAATTTTTTTAAGTTAAGTTTATGTTGCATGAATTATTGTTTTTAAAGATGTGCCGCCTTACTAATGTCTGGCCTACTTTGATTGGCCTAGAAGTTAACCTCAGGGTGCCTTATATTGGAAAGACACTTCACTGAAGTCACACCAGGTAGTAGACCATTTTGTGGGGGAAGAGGGACGTATGGAACTGGCATCCAGTGATGTTTCTCTGTGATACCCCGAACTGAGCTCCTTGGGAAACCCTTGGCAAAGTAAAAGGGAGATTCTCGCCAGAGTGAGGAATAAGGAAAGTAGACTTTATTATGGAACTCATATCTATCACCCTGTGGCTTCCTGGTATAGATTTCACTATGCATACCATTTGGGCTGAATTAACACCTACCTAGCTTGAATTTCTTCTCCAGCAAGAATTATATGCTCTGAGAAAAGCCAAGTTTTCCCTGCCTCATTTGCCCTCAAATCTAGCAAAATATATATATATAAAGTACCTTTGGAAGCATACTGTGGAGGGAAAGCATCCAGATGTCCAGTCAAAGCTGGCTTTGAAATGTACTGGAAAGATATTCATCTAGAAAATTCTATCAGAAGAAATTAAGGCTTTAAAATTGTTGGCAAATAGGAAGCAGTCAGGCCACCATAGCCTTGTCTTTAGCTCAGAACAGACATTGCTAATCAATGACAGCACTTTTCCTCGCTGAGCCCAGTACACAAATACCTCCCTGCACAGCTCTCAAGGCAGCCACTACCAATCGACCGGTGCTGGCTCTCGAGATGAAAGTTATTTGCAATCCCATCTTTATAGCCTGCAATGATCGATATAAGGACTCTAAGGGCGATTTCATTTTGAGCAGGGAGGGCTGTGTAGGTTTTTATTACCATACACAGTGCGTGCTATTGGGACCAATATGTAAAATGGTCATCAATGAGTCCTCCATCCATCCAGAAAAAAATATTTATTGGGCTAGGCACGGATTATCCAGAGATGACTGAACACTGTCCCTGACCAAGCAGACAGCTGCTTTCCGAAGAGATCCTCATCCAGGGAAGGAGGAATTCAGCTGAAAGGGGTCCCTGGGGCAGTTCCAGAGCTTCTGGCCAGACAGCAGGATGCCACTCTGGGAAGTTACACAGATTGTTAGGTGGTCAGCTTGCCCTTCAGGCTCCACTGGTCCTGCTGTAGCAGTAATGAAGGATTTACAGTGGCGAAATCTGCTTGTTGGCATGATTTGGGAATGGATGGCTGTGCCTCTGGGCACAGCTGAGCACAACTTTCCCCTCAGCTCGTCAGCTGCAAGGAGCCACGCTAAGGAAAATGTAGCCACCTCAACGTTGTCCCCCGGCTCTGTTGTTCCCTTTGCCTTGCAAGCTCTGGATACCAGAGCCTGGGAAAGTTGTGTTTACAGCAAGCGACTATGACAGCCCTGTAACTGAGTGATAACAGACAGCAGCTGACAGACAAACTCCACTCCGTTTGCCTGCCGTTCTGACATTCAGGACTCCAGCCCTCAACGACAATGTCTTTTCCTCTTTTGTGGCTACACCGCACTGTCCATCTCCTGCCAAGCTCATGATTGTTCTAGCAATTGTCCTCTAAAAAAAAACCCACTCCAGGGACAGCCCCAGCATACGCTTCAAGGGAAGGGAAATGAATAGCAAGGAGCTGATAGGACCTGGGATTTCAGTCCAACTGCCAGTGTAAGAACGGAGGGTGTGTTGAGGGGTCAGGTAAGCACAGCACAGCAGAGATGCCCGGAAATGCACAAGACAGGTACACTATCAGAGCACTGCTTTAAGGGGGGTGGGGGCGAGAAAAATGTTCGGTGCACATTCTTACATGCACTCCCTGTCATTACATGCATTCATGTCCATTTGATGAGGCACATTTCCTAGAGGAGACGGTGCTGAGCTCTTTGCAGGGACAGGTGACTAACACACGTCTCAAGCTATTATAGAATTTCTCATTTCTATTGGCATATCCTATCAAGGAATATAAGTTCTATGGGGATTGGCAGCCTAGCCAAGGTGACTCATTTGAGCTGGAAAAAGAGAAAAAAAGGGAGGGGAAAGGGGATGAAATTCATGTGTTGCATGAAATGGCTATGTTTAAATTTTATAGAGGATCTTGCTCGGACCAAGAGACTACAAGTTTAGTACCCTTGTCCAAGGATATTAAATACAAACGAGATTCCCTTTTTTTTTTTAACCTGCTTAAGTTTCCCAAGATTCAGAGTCAGTCCCAGCTGACTCTGTATCAAACTGACTTTTTCCAGAAGATACAGAAGCAACACAGCATAGGCGAGGAAGTTCTGCCGTTAGACCAAGAGCTTCAGGGTGGAGGCGTGCCAGCCACGCCATCACCAGGTGGTCGGGAATGAATGCCGTGGCTCATCTTAGCTTTGCTTGCTCTCTTACCTGTGTCACCCACCCCACAACATGGTGGCAGTTATGTAACAACAGACAGAACAACAAAGGAAAGATGTGGAAAGTCTTGGTAAACTAAAACCCCAAAAAGAGATATAGCATGTATTTCATTGGACTTCAGCATTGACAACCAAGATGGGAAAGCATGTGAAAAGCCTTGGGTTCAACCCCCAATACAATCCTCTCCAAAACCTGTGTGTGTGTGTGTGTGTGTGTGTAGTAAAACCACTAATACAGACAAGTAATTATGCAAATATGGGGTTTAAAAAATAAAATTAATTTCTTTGTGATTTTCTTCTTTCTGAGGAACAAAATATGTTTTCATTGCCGAAAATTTCAAGAAACCAAAAAGGAGAAAGTAAAAATACCCATAATTTGAAGTAGTCCCCTTTGGCTAAATGTTTATATATGTTTGATCTAGCAAAGCGTATCCATGGCAGTTTAAAAAAAAAGAAAAGAAAGGGGAAAAAAAGCCTGACAGTCCAGTGGCTTAAAATAGCAAATACTGTTTCTTGCTTAGTCTGGCAATCAGTGGTTCTCCATCAGGGGAGATGGTGACCTGCCCCAACCTCCTTCACAGAGAGAAGGACATTGGCAACGCTTGTGGTCATCACAGCTCGGGGAAGATCGCTACACATCCCTGGGCAGAGGCCAAAGCTACTCTTGAAATCCCCTCCTCGGGGCTTCCTTCGATTGCCCACAGCACAGTACCCCCAAAGGAATTATCTTAGCTGCAGGCATTAGCACCAAGGTTCCGATCCCTGCATCGTGTGTCCATCTCCGGTTAACGACGACCGTTTGGTGCCATCTTCTGATTCGAGGACACAGACCTACAAAGTCTCTGTTACCAGACACGTGCCAGCTCCCCATGGCAAGGGAAGGGGAGACGGGAATGTGCACCCTTTCCTGAAGAATCCTGTGACACATGAAATATAAGTCCCTACTCTTATTGCCTGTCACAAATCACACCCTACTTCAGAGGGACAGTCAGTGATGGTCCCAGAA